TGTCGTTTACACTGCAAGGTAAACCTAACGAGTGGGAAACACGTAAAGCTGTCTGACCCGGTTTCGCCGTGGGCCGAGCAATATTAAAATTTTCCACGTGCTCGCGCTGATGAGTGACAGATGGGGGGTTAAGTCTCCGCCCGGCCATCTGGAAACGAAAAAAATCCGCGGCGGCACAATGCGGATCCGCGCGGAAACGAGTCGATACGCGCGCGGCCGTGTCGTCGCGTAACGCCATCGCTCTTGTCCGGATCCGCGACGTTCGACAATAGTCGAACGCGAACCCGCGAACCATGCGCCGAACGTGGGTGGAAATATCGCGGCGATGCGAGTACACGTGTGCTCCCGTGCCTGTGTTCATTCGATTGTACGCATTCACGACGTTAAACAATGGCCCTCCGGGTCCGCCGCCGCTTTCCCGATATTCCCTGGGCTGTGTCTCTCCTGTTCCCTTGTGCCAATTATTCTCCTATTTCTTCCTCCCATTCCAGTCCCTCTCGTTGTGCTCCGACTTCTCGTCTTGGCTGTCGAATGGTCGACTGTGACCTTTGCCCCCGCACTCTCTGCGGTATTATGTTTCTGGGGTTCGGGGCTTTCACTGTCTTTTTATGACACGTGGATGTTCTGCGTTACGAGTTATTGTTTACTTGGCTTTCCGGCGTAACCTTTTGTGACCCGTGAATCGTGCGATACTTGACACTTAACCGGCAATTTTATGCTATTCATTTTTATTTTATTTTGTGAAATTATATGAACTTCAATGTACTTCATTTGTATGTAATGAATTGAAACTATGGACATATTTGTTATGTAATTTTGAGTATTTTGCTTTTGCAGTATTTTGTATTGCCAAACGTTGAAACAGCTAATGCAAGTACAAACAGGTTAACTCGTAACCGGTCAACAATGCGTTAACAGTCACGACCGGAAAATTGTTCACTTTTTCAATACTCGTCACTATTAAATGAAAATAAACACGGAACTTAACTGTAACTTTTATCGTATTTGGTGCTATTTCAATCAGAGACACATGACAAACATAACGGTGAAAGTAGCGTTCATCAAAAGTTAAAAATAAAAAAATTTGATATTTTAGTTAAAGATCCAAATCTCATCGCGAGCTCATCGCGATATTAATATACACGTTCCATAGCATTATTCAACTTGAAACTAAGGAATTACAATTACGATTGAATTACAACTTGTATTAACATAATTTATCGATCTTCAGAGCTAATATTTCCTCCTCAGAAAACGTTTTGAGAGTATTCAGCACTCAAAGGGTTGAGCGTCGCAATTATCCAACGTCCACCGTACCAATTAACCCACACACCCATATTTATTTTTCACGGCATTCAAGCAGGAGATCAATGATTGCGTCTTACAGTCTTCTCCGATTCATTTCCTTCTTCCGCCGACCTATTTCTCCTCCCCGTTCCGCCGTCCGCCGGCAGGGTGGTTGCCGCTTTCTCATTCTTCCCCGTCCATCGGTTCGTCGTCGACTGGCTCGCGGAACGGCTTAAAAGGGGCGGCGGCTAAATGCATTGTCTAATTGCGAGGAAAACGAGATATATCTATATAGGGGCGAGTCGTCGGGCCCTGCAGCTACAGGCCAGGTAACGGGGTTACTCCCGTGCATCTTTCTTGAA